TTGCATCGTTTGCGGAATTCGGAAGTTTGGAAATCCTTAGGCTTGAATCCGAGGGTGATTTGGTGTTTCGATATTGTTTTGAATGTTCCAAAGGTTGGAATAAGTTTGAATGGTGATATATGACTTGTGGGTATGTTTGGTTGAGGTCCCAAGGGCCTCGGGATGGATTCTGATGGTTAACGGAAAGATTGGACTTGGTTTTGAGCTGTTGAAACTGCTGCTTCTATCATATTCGCACCTGCAGATTGGGAACCGCAAGTGCAAGGCCGCAGGTGCGTGAGCAAGGCCGCAGATATGGAGGATTGGAAGTTGAGGCAAATCCTCATGTGCGCACAAAGGACCGCACCTGCGAGACTGCAGATGCGGTTCTGGACGGCAGAAGCGGGATTTTAAAAATTAAGTGAAAACCGCACCTGCAATGGCTTTCCCGCAGGTGCGGTGCCGCAGAAATGGCTTGGAGACCGCAGATGCGGAAATCGCTAGGCAGAAACAATAAAAGCCTCACTTTGTGAATTTCAGCCATTTTCTTCACCATTTTTGGACGAGTTGGAGCTTGGGGCTGTGATTTCAAGGGAGAATTAAGTGTTTTCAGTGAGGTGAGCTACTTAGACCTTGTATCTTGTGTTTATGGAAATTATTCCATTGTTTAATCATGACTTTAGTGGGAAAATTAGGGAAGAAACTGGGAGATTAGGGCTTGAAATTGGAGAGTTCAATTGGGGATTTGGAGGGCTATTTGAGGTCCGCTTTTGATGATTTTGTATGTATAGACTCGTGAGAGGATAAGGATTCTAGTGATGTGATTTTTATCGAATTCCGAAACGTGGGCCCGGGGGTCAAGTTTGGCCGATTTCGGGAATTTCGATTTAATTTGATAATTTTCGCGTGGGATTTGTTCCTTTGGTATGTATTGATGTTATAATTCTGATTTTGGATAGATTCGGGACGATTTGAGGCCGAGTCGAGAGGCAAGGGCATTGCGGAGTAGAATTTTGCCCGGTTCAATGTAAGTAACGATTGTAAATCTAGACCTGAGGGTATGGGACCCCGGAATTTCGTACTTTTTTTTATAAATGAGGTGACGCACATGGCAGGTGACGGGCGTGTGGGCGTGCACCCATAGGGATTGTGACTTGGTCCGTCCTGTGGCAACTGTAAAGTGGCATATTTTGATAAACCCTATATAATATCTATGTGTTTTAGAAATAATTCTGTTAACTTGGGCTGAATGCCATGTTTGGGGCCTTGTGTCGTACTATTTATACCCTTAGGAGTATTTTACTATTAACCTCACATTGTTTTGATAGAAAGCTTTATCCTCGGTCATGGTTTATACTTGTTTACTGTTTAATCTTGTTCATCACTCTATTTTAATATTTTAGAAAGTGTTTTGGGCTGAGTTCCCTGAGTTTGCATTGAGATGCCCGAGTGGCTTGTGTGGTCGATGAGTGAGTGAGGACGAGGGCCGGATTATGAGGATAGTTATGGATCGGACTGCACGTCGCAGCGATATATATATATATATATATATATATATATATATATATATATATATATATATATATATATATATATATATATATTTTATATATATTATATATATACACGCTGCAGCGATATGTTGGATCGGGCTGCACGCCGCAGCGATATAGCGTTTGGGCTGTGGGAACCCCTCCGGAGTCTGCACACCCCTAGTGAACGCAGTCGACTATATATTTATGGATCGGGCTGCATGCCGCAGTGGTTATTATAAGATATCAGTTGAGCGTGAGTGCTGAGTGTGAGAGCTGATTGATGATAGTTGAGTCACGAGTGACCGAGAGGCTTGCCCGAGGGGCTATATATGTGAGTGATGCTTTGCCCGAGGGGCTTGTTTTATGAAAATACCGTTTCACTCTTCTTTATACTGAGCCTCTATTGAAAATGTTGAACAAATGTTTTTTACGACTTTTCATTGAAACTAGAGTTTTACTAGATGTTCAGAATTTAATTACTGATTCAATATTGTTATTCCCACTAAGGTTTTTAAGTTATGATATGTATATGATTTTAAATGCTCGTCACTGCACTCAGCCTTTATTTATAATTGTTACTTACTGAGTTGGCGTACTCACGTTACTCCCTGCATCTTGTGTGCAGATCCAGGTGCCAGAGCATCCAAGTGAGAGTTGTCTCTTGCCTTCAGAGCATTCCGGAGATTGCAAGATAGCTGCATGGCATCCGCAGCTCTACCTTTCTCCTTCCTATCTTTAGTATTTTTTTTATCAGACTCATCTTGTATTGAGTAGACAATATCAGGTAGTATTTTATTGGCTCATGACTAATGACACTGGGATCGGGCAGTGTTGATGATTTGCATATTTGTTTCCGCTTGTTTTGAAATGTTTAAACGAAAGATTTGTGATAATATCTTATTAGTAAATAAATTAAGAAAAGTCCTTTTATGTTATAAATGTCGAATCAGCTGGCCCAATACTGCGATAGGCGCCATCACGACCAGGATGGTTTGGGGTCATGACAAGTTGGTATCAGAGCCTAGGTTACATAGGTCTCACCAGTCATAAGTTGGTTTAGTAGAGTCTTGCGGATCGGTATGGAGACGTCTGTACTTATCTTCGAGAGGTTGCAGAACCTTTAGGAAAAACTTCACATTCTTGAAATTCCTATCGTGCGAATTTGTTGATTCTAGTACTAAACTTTTGCTATTCTATTCTCTCACATATGGTGAGGACACGTGCTACCAAATAGGGAGGACGACCATAAATACCACCAGTTGGGGATACTAGAGGCCGAAGTCGCGGTTGAGGTCGTGGTAGGGGCAGGGGTGTAGCCCGCACAGCAGCCAGGGCAGCAACTGCAGATCCACCAGTTCACGATCAGGTCCCAGTTGCGGATGCTCCAGCAGGACCAGCTCAGGCACCGACTGTGTCTGTTGTTATTCCGGGTCTTCAGGAGACCTTGGCTCAGATCTTGACCATGTGAACTAGTCTTGCTCAGGCGGTTGCAGTTTCTACCACAGCCGCTACTTCTCAGGTGGGGGGAGGCACTCAGACTCCCGCTGCCCTCACACCCGAGCAAGTTGTTCAGGGATTGCAGATACCGGAGGCACCACCAGCCCAGCCGGTTGCACCTTCTCAGGATTTTGTAGTGTCAGTTATGCCTGAGGACGAGGAGCGTTGATTGGAGAGGTTTGGTAGACTTCAGCCTCCAACTTTCAACGGTGCAGAGGGCGAGGATGCCCAGGATTTCTTGGACAAGTGTCAGAGGATCCTTCATATAACGGGTATTCTGGAGACCAGTGGGGTCCCATTTACTAATTTTCAGTTTTCTGGAGTTGCCTTCACTTGGTGGGAGGCTTATGAGAGGCGTAGGCCTATTGGTGCAGCGCCCCTTACCTAGCAGCATAACTCCGCTCTCTTTTTGGAAAAGTATGTGCCACAGTCTCGTAGGGAGGAGCTACGCAGGCAGTTCGAGCAGTTGCGTCAGGATGACATGACTGTGATGCTGTATGAGATGAGGTTTTCAGAGCTAGCTCGTCATGCTGTTTGGTTGGTTCCTACGGATAAAGAGACGATAAGGAGGTTCGTGGATGGCCTCACATATCAGCTTCGGATTCTCATAACCAGAGAGAGGGTGTCAGGTGCTACTTTTGAGCAGGTTGTCGATATTGCCCGAGAGATTGAGTCAGTTCGTCGCCAGGAGCGAGATGAGAGGGAGGCCAAGAGGGTTCGGGGATCTGGTAGCTTTAGTGGAGTTCCTTCGAGAGGTCAGTTTTAGCACGGCAGAGGTCGTCCATTCAGGCATGCTCAGTCAGCTCGCCCATTTCATCGTGGGGCATCATCGGGCCATGGTTCTCACAGTTCTCATCTGGTCCATTCATCACTTAATGCCCTTCCAGCCCAGAGCTTGTCCCGTGCTCCATCAGTTCAGGGCTCTTCTATGACAGGTCCTTCTACTAGTCATCCCGGTGCTAGAGGTTCCCTTCAGTCCCCGTCCCCTGCACCGGGGAGTTTTTATGAGTGTGGAGAGTTTGGGAATATGAGGAGACAGTGTCCTCGTCTTCTTGGGGGTCCATCTCAACAGAGGGGTCAGGCCTTGACTTCAGGTCCAGTTACTTCACCACCCGCCCAGGCAGCTAGGGGTGGGGATCAGTCAGCTAGGAGTCGCCTCAGAGGGGGGTAGATCAGGTGGTGGACAGGCCCGTTTCTATGCACTCCCAGCCAGACCAGACGCTATTACTTTAGATGTCGTAATTACAGCTATTGTCTTAGTTTGCCACAAAGATGCCTCTGTGTTATCTGATCCTGGTTCCACTTTTTCATATGTGTCATCATATTTTGCTCGTCATTTGGATTCACCCCGTGAGCCTCTCGTATCATCTTTTTGTGTATCTACTCCGGTGGGCGATACTATTGTTGTGGACCGCGTATATCGGTCGTATGTGGTGACTATTGAGGGTTTGGAGACCTGAGTGGACCTTCTGTTGCTTTGTATGGTGGATTTCAATGTGATATTAGGCATGGATTGGCTATCTCCGTGTCGTGCTATTTTGGACTATCATGCTAAGACAGTGACATTGGCTATGCCGGGTGTGCCACATATCGTGTGGCAAGGTTCGACTGATTTTGTTCCCAGTAGGGTGATTTCATTTTTGAAGGCCTAGCGGATTGTTGGGAAGGGTTCTCTCTCTTACTTAGCCTTTGTGAGGGATGTCATGCAGAGGCTCCTAGTATTGATTCAGTCCCGGTAGTGAGGGATTTTCCACATGTGTTTCCTGCAGACCTGCCAGGCATGCCCCAGACAGGGTTATTAATTTTGGTATTGATTCGGTGTCAGGCACTCAGCCCATTTTTATTCTATCGTATTGTATGGCACCGAAGGAGTTGAAGGAGTTGAAGGAACAGCTTCAGGAACTCCTTGATAAGGGGTTTATTCGGCCTAGTGTGTCGCCTGGGGCTGCGCCTGTTCTATTTGTGAAGAAGAAGGATGGCACGATGAGGATGTGCATTGATTACAGGCAGTTGAACAAAGTTACAATCAAGAACAAGTATCCTTTGCCTCGTATTGATGATTTATTTGACCAGTTCCAGGGAGCGAGGGTGTTCTCCAAGATTGATATCCGGTCAGGGTATCACCAGTTGAAGATCAGGTACTCAGATATTCATAAGACAGCCTTCAGGACCCGATATGGTGATTATGAGTTCCTTGTGATGTCTTTTGGGCTGACCAATGCCCCAGCAACGTTCATGCATCTGATGAACAGCGTGTTTCGGCCTTATCTCGACACGTTTGCTATTGTATTCATTGATAATATTCTGGTATACTCGCGTAGTCAGGATGAGCACGCCGAGCATTTGAGAGTTGTATTGCAGCGGTTGAGGGAGGAGAAGCTTTATGCAAAGTTCTCCAAGTGCGATTTTTGGCTCAGTTCAGTGGCTTTCTTGGGGCACGTGGTATCCAGTGAGGGTATTCAGGTTGATCCGAAGAAGGTAGAGGCGGTTTAGAGTTGGCCTAGACCGTCCTCAGCCATAGAGATTCGCAGTTTTCTTGGTTTGGCGGGTTATTACCGCTGGTTCATTCAGGGATTTTCATTTATTGCATCACCCTTGACCAAGTTGACTCAAAAGGGTGCACCTTTCATGTGGTCGGATGAGTGTGAGGCGAGCCTCCAGAAGCTCACTCAAGACTGCCTTGACCACAGCTCCAGTGTTAGTTTTGCCATCAACTTCAGGTTCATATACGGTGTATTGTAATGCTTCTCGAGTTGGTATTGGATGTGTGTTGATGCAGGAGGGTAGAGTGATTGCTTATGCTTCTCATCAGTTGAAGCCCTATGAGAAGAACTACCCTGTTCATGATTTGGAGTTGGCTTCCTTTGTTCACGCGTTGAAGATTTGGAGGCATTATCTCTATGGTGTATCTTGTGAGGTGTTTACTGATCATTGTAGCCTCCAGCACTTGTTCTAGCAGAAGGATCTCAATTTGAGGTAGTGGAGGTGGTTGGAGCTGCTAAAGGATTATGATATCACTATCTTGTACCATCCGGGGAAGGCCAATGTAGTGGTCGATGCCTTGAGTAGGAAGGTGGTGAGTATGGGCAGTTTGGCGTATATTCCTGTTGTGGAGAGACCTCTTACAGTTGATGTTCAGGCCTTAGCCAATCGGTTCGTGAGGTTGGATATTTCGGAGCCCAACCGGATCTTAGCTTGTGTGGTTTCTCGATCTTCCTTGTTCGATCGCATCAGAGAGCGCCAGTATGATGATCCTCATTTGCTTGTCCTCAAGGACAGAGTTCAGCAAGACGATGCCAGAGATGTGACTATTGGTGATGATGGGGTATTGAGGATGCAGGGCCGGATATGTGTACCCAATGTAGATGGACTTCGGGAGTTGATTCTGGAGGAGGCCCATAGCTCGCGGTATTCCATCCATTCGGGTGCCGCAAAGATGTACCAGGATTTGAGATAGCACTACTAGTGGATGATAATGAAGAAAGATATAGTGGGATTTGTAGCTCGGTGCCTCAATTGTCAGTAGGTGAAATATGAGCATCAGAGGCCGGGTGGCTTACTTCAGCAGATGGATATTCCAGAATGGAAGTGGGAGCGGATCACCGTGGATTTTGTAGTTGGCCTCCCACGGACTTTGAAGAAGTTCGATGCTATTTGGGAGATTGTGGATCGGCTAACCAAGTACGCGCACTTCATTCCTGTGTGTACTACCTATTCTTCAGAGTGGTTAGAAGAGAATTATATCCGAGAGATTGTTCGCCTGCATGGTGTCCCAGTTTCCATCATTTCAGATAGAGGTCTCAGTTCACTTTACAGTTTTGGAGAGCCGTGCAGCGAGAGTTGGGTACCCTGGTTGAGTTGAGCACAGCTTTTCACCCTCAGACGGAGGGGCAATCCGAGTGCACTATTCAGATATTGGAGGACATGTTGCGCGCTTGTGTCATTGATTTTGGGGGTTCATGGGATCAGTTTCTACCGCTCGCAGAGTTTGCATATAACAACAGCTATCAGTCAAGTATTCAGATGGCTCCATATGAGGCTTTATATGGGAGACGGTGTAGATCTCTAGTTGGTTGGTTTGAGCCGGGTGAGGCTGGGCTTTTGGGTACAGACTTGGTACAGGATGCTTTGGACAAGGTGAAAGTGATTCAAGAGCGGCTCCGTAGAGTGTAATCGAGACAAAAGAGTTATACTTACAGGAAGGTTCGTGATGTGTCTTACATGGTTGGGGAGAAGGTTCTACTGAAGGTATCACCCATGAAGGGTGTTATGAGATTTGGGAAGAATGGTAAATTGAGTCCTCGGTTCATTGGGCCTTTGAGGTACTTCGGAGGATTGGGGAGGTGGCATATGAGCTGGCGTTGCCACCTAGCTTATCGAGTGTTCATCCGGTATTTCATGTTTCTTTGCTTCGGAAGTATATTGGCGATCCGTCTCATGTATTGGATTTCGGCACGGTTCAATTAGACGGTGATTTGACTTATGATGTGGAGCCAGTGGCTATTTTGGAGCGGCAGATTCGAAAGTTGAGGTCAAAGGATATAGCTTCAGTGAAAGTGAAGTGGAGAGGTCGACCCGTGGAGGAGGCTACTTGGGAGACCGAGCGGGAGATGCGGAGCAGATATCCATACCTGTTTGAGGCTTCAGGTATGTTTCTCGAACTCGTTCGAGGATGAACTTTTGTTTAAGAGGGAGAGGATGTAACGACCCGGCCGATCGTTTCATGAGTTACAGCCCTATCTTCCTCATTTCTGCTTCTTTATTGTTGTTCAGCTGTATTTCATCATATTGTGTTGGTTGTTCTGTGTTCGAAGTGGTCTTGGAGTGGAATGAGACACTTAGTCTCTAATTTAGGAGCTTAAGTTGGAAAAGTCAACCAGATGTTGACTTATGTATAGAAGGTCTCGGATGTGAATTCTAATAATTCGGATAGCTTCGTTAGGTGATTTTGGACTTAGGATCTTGATCGGAATGTAATTTGGAGATCCGTGGTAGATTTAGGCTTGAATTCGCGAAATTGGAAATTTGCAGCTTTCCGGTCGGCAGTGGAAATCTTGATATCGGGGTCAGAATGGAATTCCAGAAATTGGAGTAGGTCCGTTGTCTAATTTGTGACGTGTGTGCAAAATTTCAGGTCATTCGGATGAGGTTTGATAGGTTTTTGCATCATTTGCGGAATTCAGAAGTTTGGGAATCCTTAGGCTTGAATCCGAGGGTGAATTGGTGTTTTGATGTTGTTTTGAATGTTCTGAAGGTTGGAATAAGTTTGAATGGTGATATGTGACTTGTGGGTATGTTTTGTTGAGGTCCCGAGGGCTTCGTGATGGTTTCGGATGGTTAACAGAAAGATTAGACTTGGTTTTGAGCAGCTGAAACTGCTGTTTCTGTCATATCCGCACCTGCGGATTGGGGACCGTAGGTGCGAGGCCGAAGGTGCGTGAGCAAGGCCGCAGATGCAGAGGATTGGAAGCTGAGGCGAATTCGTAGGTGCGCACAAAGGACCGCATCTTTGAGACCGCAGATGCGGTTGTGGACGGCAGAAGCGGGATTTTAAAAGTTAAGTGAAAATCGCACCTGTGATGGCTTTTCCGCAGGTACGGCATCGCAGAAATGCTTGGAGACCGCAGATGCGGAAATCGCTAGGCAGAAACTATAAAAGCCTCGCTTCGCAAATTTTAGCCATTTTTTTCACCATTTTTGGACGAGTTGGAGCTTGGGGGCTGTGATATCAAGGGGGAATTTAGTGTTTTCAATGAGGTAAGCTACTTGGACCTTGTATCTTGTGTTTATGGCAATTATTCCATTGTTTAATCATGATTTTAGTGGGAAAAATAGGGAAGAAATTGGGAGATTAGGGCTTGAAATTGGAGAGTTCAATTGGGGATTTGAGGTCCGATTTTGATGATTTTGGTATGTATAGACTCGTGAGAGGATAAGGATTCTAGTGATGTGATTTTTATCGGATTCCGAGACGTGGGACCGAGGGTCGGGTTTTGCCAATTTCGGAAATTTCTATTTAATTTGATAATTTTCGCGTGGGCTTTGTTCCTTTGGCATGTATTGATGTTATGATTCTGATTTTGGATAGATTCGGGATGATTTGAGGCTGAGTCGAGAGACAAGGGAATTACGGAGTAGATTTTTGCCCGGTTCGAGGTAAGTAACGATTGTAAATCAAGACCTGAGGGTATGAAACCCCGAAATTTCGTACTTTTTTTTGATAAATGAGGTGTGTTAGTTTATATGAATCCACCAAACTATAGAGTACCTGGTCCTCTATGAGTTTCCACTGAGAATACTAATTAAAACAGTAAGTAAATGAGACACAGTATATTTGCGTGGAAAAATCCCAACTCAAGGGGACAAAAATCACGACCTACACTTGTAGGCTTTCAACTTCACTAACTTATAAACACACTATTACAAGCCACTTTGTAATGACTCTATTACAAAGACTTGAACTCAACTAACTTGTGATACACTTACCACAAGCCACTTTGTCACTCACTAGTTACAAAGACTTTAACTTATGACTAACTCTAGTCACAATACAAACTCAGAAGGTTTATGATTTTGAGTTTCCTAAAACAAAGCTTCTAAGAAAGCAATATAGGAGTTACAATGAAGAACAAACAACAAGATTACAACTCAACTACGGACACACATAGATTCATTGTGGAACTGATCCTTAGTGGAGTTGTCTTCTTGTTCTTGACACACTTATGACTTCAATGATGGATCAAATCTTTTTTTCTGCTTGAGAGAATATCACTAAATGCTCAAGTGAAAATCTTGTTCCTTACACCATGTTGTTATACTACCAAAGACATCCCAAGGATGATGTCAATTCTTGGTTGGTACACGCCTCTTCCCAATGGGAAGTGTCTGCTGCACTGTCGCGTGTACAGTTGCAGGCAATCACTTTCTGCAGTTGCTTTCCAGCTGTATAGTTGACTTGTACTTCTATCAGAGAACACCAAGGGATCAGGTCCCTGTCTTTTTCCTCTATTCTCTACACTTGCAGCAGTTCACATTAACTGGAGTTCAGGCTGGAATTCGTTCATTTGCAATGTGTGCCAGGTGTGTCAGGTTCCCTATCTGGTTCTTGACAGTAAGTTTGTTAGATCATCAAAACATAAGGCAAAGAAATTGAAAACCCATCAATTTCCCCCTTTTTGATGATGACAAACTTAGACATTGAAAACATGTATTTAGAGCAGAAATAACCAGATAAGGTAAAAGGAACTTCACAAGTCCCACCTGACTTTATGCTTCCCCCTTAATCAGATCCCCTGTCTATGCTTGATCCCCTGTTTCAATTTCAATTATACTTCCCCCTTTTTGGCATCATTAAAAATACACAAGCAGGCAAACAGCATAAAGAAGTCTAACATAGCCAACTCATGCCACATATGTGCACACAACATGACAGAAAAAAGAAGCAAAAGGAAAATAGCATTGTACAAGCAATAGGAAGAGCTGTTTCATTGATATGAAAATGGACTGATTAAACAGGAGCAGTAATGGTGAAATCCAGCATGCCATCAAAAAAAACAACAGCCACAAAACATTATAATAGAAGACAACTGGTCACTGAGAGGTTTCTAAGGGGCACTAGAAGAGGGAGACTTGGAGAAGGAGGCAGCAAGGGTTTTGAGAACCAGGTCCATACGGGCATTTGCAGACAGCTGCTCTTCAAGAAATTTTGCGCGAAGCTCATTATTTTCCTTGGTCAAGCGGGCAACGTCTTCATGGGAAGAATTAACAGAACCAGGTGCCCCAACAACTTGACTAAGCTGAGTTTCCAGTATGGCATTCTGAGCCCTCAACCTCCTGATCTCTTCGGTAGCAGTATTTTGAGCATTGATCAGCTGAGAAATGGTCGAGATGCTTCCACCAACCTTTTCTACACACTCACACTCTTCCAGAATGGTTTTGGAGAAGGTTCGATTGCGGGTACCCACTTTGGGATTGGCCAAAGGAACCTTGTAGAACTGAAACACTCGAGTGAGGAGAAAGCCATATGGAAGCCCGTGATTGCCACCTTTAAAGTTTGCCACCTTTTGCATGTGTTCTATCATGATTGCTGGCAGATTGATCGGAGAAAACTCATCAAGAGCCTCCATTAAGACCAGATCAGACTTTGAAGCGATAGACTGCCTCTCAGCACGAGGTAAGAGCACCTTATTGACCAGCTCAAAGAGAAGCTGATACTTAGGAAGTAGTGCCTTCTTATGCACCCGTTCCCCCTGCTGAATAGCTTGCTCTTTCATAATAGCTCTCCTAAAGTTAGCTCCACAAGCACCCTTGATTGAGGACATCCCTTCACATAGAACTTGGAGAACTTTCCCCAAAGCTGAAGCGTCAAGCACAATGTCTATTCCATTTACTAGCACACAGATGTGGTCCCCCTCAACAGTGAAGAGAGATGCGTAGAAGTTTTGTACCGCATCTTCGTACACCTTAGGCACATCCTCTTGAAACAATGATCCCACTGCTGAAATTCCACCATCTCCAGAACTTGCCTCATACCTGCCATCTCTGAGATTGCCAGGTCAAACATACGACCCCACAAGACTTTCTGAGTTCTCAATCTCTCCTGCCAAAGACCACTATCACAGGGTATGGTCTTCGTAGAACCAGGTCCCCCTACAATTTCCCGTTTTCGTTTTCTAGACCCTTCAACAGACTTCCCTTTCAGCTTGCAACCCCCACAGTATCTCTTTCAAACATGGCTTGCTCAATTACAACCTTCTTAGACTTACTGCTACCCTTCACAGATGTTCCACTTTGTTTTTCAATAGCTTCATCCGAAGCTCCAACCACAAACTTCTGGATTTTTGTAGATCGTTTCACTAAGGANACTCGGACTGCTTTTTTCGGTCTACAATTCCCCCTGTTTCATCAACCTCTTTTCGTTTTTCTTGATACTCCTCTTACTTTCTGCAAGGCAGACTCGAAAGCCGCTTTCTGCTGCAGCCTGCTAGAGGGGCGCTTGGAAGAGGATTCAGGAGTCACTGCTGATTTGCACATCTTAAACCGCGCACTGAGAACCATATCATCTTCATCAATAGGGACCTCACTGGGTGGAATGGAATCCAAGTCTTAGGATAAACAAGAGGTTCCTGAGTTGTTTCAACTGGAAGAGAATCAGGTTCTCCACTAGGTTTTTCTGTGACTGTTTCATGGACTGGAGACTCGAAGATTACCAAGGTTCTTTCATCCTCTAGGAATGGAGTTTCTTCCCCCTGAGACTCAGACAAAAGGGAGGCTCCTTCATTCAAAAGACTCTCAGCAGCGATAGCCATGATATTGTGTGCTGCTTTCTTTTCTGGTGACTCCGTGGGAGCCATTGAGTCCAAAATGGAGGAGTTCAAATATTGATCAGGATCATCCTCAGAGACCTCTGACACCTGAGGGGTAACACTTTCTAAGCGTTCTTTGGTGAGATCAAAAGAAGGGGGAGAAATGGGGTTTTCAACACATGGAAGGGAGACAGAGCTTGACGGAGAAGGAAAGGCGATACGAGATGAGGAGGAAACAGGTGTGGGTGTAGTAGTATTGGGGATAGTGGAAGAGTGGGTTTTTGGGGGTGACGTTAAGGAAGATGGAGAAGTGGGAGTGGTGTTGATGGAAGGCGAAGGAAGAGACTGTTCGTTTGCCATTGTAAAGAGGATTTGGTAGAGAAATTTGAGTGAGAGAGAAGGGAAGAGGGGATCACAGAGATACAGAGGAGATGAAGGTTTAGGACTGCTATGAGAGAGAGGGTTTTATGGGAAGAATGGCTAATAATTAGAGGGGAGAGGAACGGGTTCTGAAGGATTTTGAAACGGCGGTAGGTTTGTGGGAATACGTAACGTACAGAGGAGGTGAAAGGATTTGAAAGATAAGACGTGATATGCAGACTCTGAAAAGTCGGATGATGTGGCAGTTGAATTAATTTTGTTAACCTTTTTGAAAAAGCATGCGAAAAACACATTACAACTAGCCTGTGGTACAGGAACCTAGATCCTGACCAATTTTTGTAATAGATTTTTTGCAGCTCTCTTTCGCAGTTCAACATTGTACCTTTAGCTTCAATGATTGTCATGCGTGTTTACCTGCAACGGTATAGATGTGAGTTAGGCCTAGTCAGAAAACACTTTAACCAATTTTACCTGAATGAGACTTTCATGGTCATGTGAGCAGAAACAGGTTCTCACGTAGGTTTAATTAACCCAAGTGCCATCCTATTTCTCTCTCAATGTTCCCTGCTCACAGCTTTTGTGAAGATGTCTGCAATTTGATCTTCTGTGTAGCAAAATCTCATACAAATAAGTCCCTTTTTCCACATTATCTCTGAGACAATGGTATCTGACATCAATGTGTTTGGTTTTCTTGTGCTGGACCGGGTTCTTTGCCATGTTGAGAGTGTTTGCTTCAGCTATTGAGAGAGCCACTGGGTTGTGTTTCCTTGTACCCAATGAGATTAAGCATGATCCAATAGAATGAGCAATTCCAGATGTGCTCTTCTTGACCACCAAATAACCTTGTTTCTTTCAAATTGATGCAGCTCCTCTTGCATTGTTGTAATCCAGTCAGCATCCTTCAAGGCTTCCTTGATATTTTTTGGGTTCTATATGGGATAGAAATACAGAGAGGACTAGAGAATTTCTGGCTTTTGATCTTGTTTGAATCCCAGAATCAATGGGGGTGATTTTATTATCAAGTGGATGGGAGCTTTTGTGTTTCCAATTTGGGACTGGAGTTGGATTGGTAGAGGAACTGGGCAAATTGGATAGATTTCCCTGCACTCCTTGTTTTGTTACTTGTGGAGTGCCTTAGACTGAATCTCAAACTCTTTCTTCAGCCTTAGTGGTAGTGATTGGAGTACCAGGTTCCTCTTGAGGAGTGGGAAAGGATGTCGTATTTTCTTCACCTGCTTCCCTCATTTGGCTCATCATGTCAGCTTTGTGATTGGAAGCATCGGATATTTCCCAAGAACCAAAAGTGGTTCATTGTCTAGATCGTCATTGTTTCCTTTCTTACAAGAAGAGGGTGTCTCGTTGAACAACACATGGACACGTTTTTTCACACATAGTGTCCTTTTCGTTGTAGACCTTGTAAGCTTTGCTTTTTGAGGAATATCCTAGAAAGATTCCTTCATCATTTTTTTGCATCAAACTTCCCAAGCTGACCCTTCCATTGTTGAGAACATAGTATTTGCATCCAAAGGTTCTCAAATGAGTTGTCTTTGGTTTTCTACCATTGAATAACTCATAAGGAGTTTTGTTCAGGAGGGACCGGATCAAGCACCTCTTCATCAAGTACCACGCAGTGTTTATTGCCTCTGCCTAGAGATTTTTGCTATTCCACTGACAATGAGTATTTTCCGTGCCATGTCTTCTAGAGTTCTGTTCTATCTTTCAGTCAGCACCATTTTGCTGTGGAGTCCTTACGTTGTCAAATTCTGTTCCGTGGTCAGATCTGATGCAGGCTACTTTCAATTCCATCTTCACTTGGATTTTCTTGACAAAGGCCACAAATACCTCGAAGTCTCATCTTTTGTCCTAAGAAATAGTGTCCAAGTGAATCTTGAGTAGTCGTCCACAATCACAAAGATATACTTCTTTCCACCCCTGCTTGGTATTCTTATAGGACACACAAATAGATATGAAGGAGTTCGAGTGGTTTTGACGTGCTGACATCCTTCTTGGGCTTAAAGGATGATTTCACATGTTTTCCTCTAGCACATACATCGCACACTCCGAGTTATTTGAACTTCGAATTTGACAGACCATGGACCAGGTCCTTCTTTATCAATTTATTCAGAAGTGAGAAACTTGCATGCCCCTAATCCTCTATGCCAAAGCTCCGCATCATTATCAAATGCCTTCAAGCAGCTCATATCACCATCTTAGACACGAACTCTACTTTGTTTCCTTTCCGATACCAAGAATGTACCCCTTCTTTCCATTTCTAAAGGATACATTCCCTCCTTGCAGGGCTTTCAGTGAGAGAAAATTCATGGTGTTTCCAATCATGTGCTTTGAGCATCCATTGTCCATGATCCATTGCAGTCCGCTTCCTCTCACTGTTCCCTGCACATATAAATTATGGTTTAGATTTAGGAACCCAAACTAGTTTGGGTGCCTTGTAGTGAGCAAAAGGGTGGAGAAGAGCTTTCTTAGTCCATGCAGGCAATATGCGATTTTTGCGAGTGGTACCTGGTCCCCTGCTAGTAGTCACTTTTTCACCAAACACTTTGTTTTTCTAAATGAATTGAACCCTGGCCTGGCAATTTTCTTTGAAGTGCCCATTGTTCCTACAGTGGGTACGAAGCTAGTTATCGGGAATAGTGACATACTTGTTGTGAGGGTTGTAAGGAGTTTTCTCCTTTTCGAACCCGATTCCCTGCCTATTTCCACTATTTTTGAGGTACATAGCAGTGACAGCTTCTGAAGATCAGGTCTACTTGAGAGATATTTCAAGGTCAATTTTTACTTTCTCCAATTCAGCTTGAAGTTGCCTATTTTTCTCCAGTTCTCCACATAGACTAGTTTTAACATCATTTAATTCCTTTTCAAGCTTGATGTG